TCCTCTCACCTTCTCGGGGGGCTCCGTGTGACGGAACTCTGTCCTCTCACCTCAGGGGGCTCCACGTGATGGAACTCTGTCCTCTCACCTTCTCGGGGGGCTCCGTGTGACGGAACTCTGTCCTCTCACCTTCTCGGGGCTCTGTGTGACGGAACTCTGTCCTCTCACATTCTCGGGGGGCGCCACGTGACGGAACTCTGTCCTCTCACCTCAGGGGGCTCCACGTGATGGAACTCTGTCCTCTCACCTTCTCGGGGGGCTCCTTGTGACGGAACTCTGTCCTCTCACCTCAGGGGGCCCCACGTGATGGAACTCTGTCCTCTCACCTTCTCGGGGGGCTCCGTGTGATGGAACTCTGTCCTCTCACCTTCTCGGGGCTCTGTGTGACGGAACTCTGTCCTCTCACATTCTCGGGGGGCACCACGTGACGGAACTCTGTCCTCTCACATTCTCGGGGGGCGCCACGTGATGGAACTCTGTCCTCTTACCTTCTTGGGGGGGCTCCACGTCATGGAACTCTGTCCTCCCACATTCTTGGGGGGCTCCGTGTGACGGAACTCTGTCCTCGCACCTTCTCGGGGGGCTCCTTGTCACGGAACCCTGTCCTCTCACCTTCTCGGGGAGCTCCACGTGACGGAACTCTGTCCTCTCACGTTCTCGGGGGGCTCCACGTGACGGAACTCTGTCCTCTCATGTTCTCGGGGGGTCTGTGTGACGGAACTCTGTCCTCTAACCTTCTCGGGGGGCTCCGTGTGACAGAACCCTGTCCTCTCACCTTCTCGGGGGGCTCCACGTGATGGAACTCTGTCCTATCAGAGTTCTGGGGGCTCCACATGACGGAACTCTGTCCTCTCACCTTCCCGGGGCTCCGTGTGACGGAACTCTGTCCTCTCACCTTCTCGGGGGGCTCCACGTGACAGAACTGTGTCCTCTCACGTTCTCGGGGGGCTCCACGTGACGGAACTCTGTCCTCTCACGTTCTCAGGGGGCTCCGTGTGATGGAACCCTGTCCTCTCACCTCGGGGGGCTCCACATGATGGAACTCTGTCCTCTCACCTTCTCGGGGCTCTGTGTGACAGAACTCTGTCCTCTCACATTCTCGGGGGGCTCCACGTGACGGAACTCTGTCTTTTCACGTTCTCAGGGGGCTCCACGTGACAGAACTCTGTCCTCTCACCTTCTCGGGGCTCTGTGTGACAGAACTCTGTCCTCTCACGTTCTCAGGGGGCTCTGTGTGACGGAACTCTGTCCTCTCACCTTCTCGGGGGGCTCCGTGTGACGGAACTCCGTCCTCTCACCTTCTCTGGGGCTCCGTGTGACGGAACTCTGTCCTCTCACCTTCTTGGGGCTCCGTGTGATGGAACTCTGTCCTCTCACCTTCTCGGGGGGCTCCACGTGACGGAACTCTGTCCTCTCACCTTCTCGGGGCTCCGTGTGACGGAACTCTGTCCTTTCACGTTCTCGGGGGGCTCCATGTGACGGAACTCTGTCCTCTCACCTTCTCGGGGCTCTGTGTGATGGAACTCTGTCCTCTCACGTTCTCGGGGGGCTCCATGTGACAGAACTCTGTCCTCTCACCTTCTTGGGGGGCTCCGTGTGACGGAACTCCATCCTCTCACCTTCTCAGGGGGCTCCGTGTGACAGAACCCTGCCCTCTCACCTTCTCAGGGGGCTCCACGTGATGGAACTCTGTCCTGTCAGAGTTCTGGGGGCTCCACGTGACGGAACTCTGTCCTCTCACCTTCTTGGGGCTCCGTGTGACGGAACTCTGTCCTCTCACGTTCTCAGGGGGCTCCACGTGACGGAACTCTGTCCTCTCACCTTCTTGGGGCTCCCCGTGTGACGGAACTCTGTCCTCTCACCTTCTCAGGGCTCTGTGTGACAGAACTCTGTCCTCTCATGTTCTCGGGGGGCTCCACGTGACGGAACTCTGTCCTTTCACGTTCTCGGGGGGCTCCACATGATGGAACTCTGTCCTCTCACCTTCTCGGGGCTCCACGTGATGGAACTCTGTCCTGTCAGAGTTCTGGGGGCTCTGTGTGACGGAACTCTGTCCTCTCACCTTCTCGGGGGGCTCCACGTGACGGAACTCTGTCCTCTCACCTTCTCGGGGCTCCGTGTGACGGAACTCTGTCCTTT